AGATTTTGGTTCAATGTAGATGCGACGAGTTAGTAGGAATTGGCAGATAACGTAACAGTCAACAGTTTAAACACAGCTATTTTATGACAAAAAAGGAAGCAAATGCGCTCACAGAAAGTGAAGAATATGACCACTTGCCACACCGTTGATTTCAATGTGAATAGGGTCTGTAGTAAGACAGATGTTTCCGGGTAATTGTGGGAGGGGGGCAGACTGTCGGGAAACAAGTCTACAACCTCCGCCCGATAAGACAGCACAGATACATGTACCGCCTCAGGGTCTTTCACAACTCTCACCAGACTACAGCACGACAACACAACGTTAGTCATTCTCAGGAAAAAGAAAGTAGAACTTTTTTAACGATGTCGCTCAATGCAAGGCCAATTATTTTTGGCCACTTCTAGGCATACAGCTAGAGGTATAGAACTGTAACAGCAACTCTTCTCCCTGAGTTAGAAACATCAAGATTGAGACCAGCCCAATTTTTCACAAGTAGTGAGGACCAACTGACCCAATAGGAGAAGTTGTTTACAAAAACATAGAACACATAATATGTCCGAACAACACAACAACAAGCCTGGAGAAAATAGTAAATATAGAGCAAGAGTGGTACTCTCCAAGCAGAGGTTTGGCTTCGTCATATTTTAGCGTGTTTTAGGCATTTTATCGGGGATTATTTTTTTAACTGTTTTTTTTCACGCCAGGCAAACTGGGAGTGACACATGGATACTGTGCTGCCTATTTGATACTGTCTTGCAGCAGTCACCGAAATGTCTGCTTGGAGATTATTAGTGTGGCACGTAAACAAATACAACATATAAGCATTCAAAGAAAAGTACGTAAGAAATCCATAAACCACGATTTAGTGGAGGTGATTAGGTCGAAGAAGAGTCACAACAGAGTAACTTTGCTTTTCAAATCCGCCTGTATTGACAGTCTAACGTTAGACAATTCAAATATTCCTGTCTTCAAGTATTCATGCTTAAATTTGTAGACGTTATTGTCCCAAGGAGATATGCAGCATTGTAAATCTGTACTGATATGTATCAGGACCAGTCTGGTTCTTCACTGATCAGACGTACGGAGCTGTTATTTCTGACACAGTTTGTACGCCGTACTGTACAGGTTGGGACGCCATGTTGTCTGGGCGCCGATCTGAAGGTCGTGCCTTACAAAAACAGACGCCTCTCCCCCAATTAGGGCTCATCACCCGCCATTGTTCCGCTCAGGATCAGGTGGTCATAATGCGATAATTCCTTGATATTGAAATTTCTCTCCTCTTTGTCCGGGGAAATATTTACCCATCGCATTGTCCGCGGCCGGCGGGCGCTCGGCCCAGCTCATCCCGATGAGTTTTTCTCAGCGGGGCGGCAGGCGGGGACGATTTTCCCGATTCGATGCGCTTTTCTGAGCTGTATGGGTACAAAGTTAATATTGAAAGATCGCTTGTGATGGAAATGACGGGACAATTGCCGGCCCCTAGCCGCGAGGAGACAGGACTTGTGTCGGTGCTGCTTTGGTGAAGTAGGACAGAATAGACACACGCGGCTGTTGACAGAACGACACAATACTGGACAGGGCTAATGAAGAACCAGAGAGGAAAGGTTCTGAATTGGATTAAAGGAAGCCGTAAAATGTGTCAGACGTGTAATTATCACTCGTACGACACAGTTACGACAGAGTACGCGGCCGTCGGGGGAGCAAAAGACACGGTTTTTACTCAGAAGTTGTCAGGCAAATGGTTTGGAACGGAGTAAAACTTTGAACAATTTGAGCATCAAAGCTCATACGTATGTGATAATGCAACGACTTCCTACGTAAACAGGGAGCTAGCACACATAAAAGCTCATTGCGCTTAGAATCACTGCATATATCTTGGTATATATATGGATATATCATATATCTGCATATATATTAGGCATATATCATATATCTGCATATATATTAGGCAAGCGTTAATGTTCTAACAGACTTTTGGTGGCTGCAAGACACTAGCCTCCTGTGCAGCCTCCGGGCGGGTGGGAGTTTTGATACTGCGTTTTGTAGAATTTTTAACGTGTTTTTGTTCACGGCCATCCTACAACCAGCCGCCCAGAGAAGGTTTGTACCCGCCACGGATTGGTAGGGCAGTATCCCTAAGTTTGATTCCAGTACAAAATTCAAAGCCCCAAAAACACCTTAAACACATCAAAAATAAGCAGTTCTAGAAGATAAAACATCCGATTTGAGATAGGCAAGCATAAAACAAGACATTGCAAGTGTTGTGACGTACAATATCCAGTTCAATATTTTTCATCTGGTTCAAGGATTGAAATAAAACTTCATAATCATTCGTTGATTGTAAAGATTCCTGTGCATCGAACGTTGCCTTTAGACTACGGAAGAAAAAAGACGGCTTTACAATAACATGTTTTTTCTCCTTAGCCTGGAGGGGTATTCCAAAGCAATGTATTTTGAATGTCCGATCGCGAATCAGCGTCATTTTGTTGTTATCTCTGTCATTTTGGGACACATAATTTTGCAGATGTCGGCCTGAGTGCCACCGGTCATCCAGACGTCGTCAGGCCGGAGCCAATGGTCCATTAGATACCGATAACAAGCCGTATTTAACTGACGTGAGTTTGTGAGTTGGAAAGATAACATTCACTGCCGTGACTCCTGCTGAAGAAAAGACGAGGCGGAGTAAACATCGGTGTTTGTCGCGGGTCGGGACAGATAACATACGGACAGGAGATAAGGATTTGTAGCCTCTACCAGGCTTGAGGAGGCGGCTGGAAAGAATAGAAATCGGCCAAAATAGAGAGATAAGCATGCCAGGGGAGTTTGGCCGTTGAGAGAACAGTTCGCCGAACTGTTCTCTCAACGGCCAAACTCCCTTGGCATGCTTTATATATATCTCTCTATTTGTGGCCGATTTCTATTCTTTCCAGCCGCCTCCTCAAGCCTGGTAGAGGCTAAAGGATTTGTAGAAGAGGCGCTTTATGTACAGAATGTCTCAATTGTGGAACAACACATGCGATAACTAGGAAAGTATTGGACTGTAAATAGTGTATTTAAGGAATTGTGTTATTTTACTCCATACTGTTAACTTTGTAATGTCTTTGAACGTTTTTCTTCAATAGTAACACATGTATGTATATATGTACGTAATGTGTAGACCACAGGAAGAATAGCATCTTTTGAGGCTAATTGTGGATCCAAATAAAACTCAAACAAAACTCAAAGTACTCTTCCAGCAGAGGTTTACGTAAGGCTTATTTTGACGCATTTTTAGACGTTTTTATACTTTTTGTACTGATATCTTTTTCGTCCGTGCACAGCGACCGGTAGCTATACTAAATGATTCTGTCTCGCTAAATTTGATACAGTTGTTGAGTCACCAAAAGATCTGCTTGGAGATTAGCTCAGAGCAACAAACTGTACTCCTTTAGCAGACAAACTTCCCTGTCATGTTATCTGTGTATTTGCCGATTTCTACTCTTTCCTGCTCTCCAAGCAGAGGTTGTGGGGGAATGATCGTCACCTTTTGATATATGGCCGTTTTTTGTCACTACCCCTCCGTCAGTGGCCGCGGACCTTCTCTGGCTAATGATTACTGCCTGGCCAATTTGATACTGTCTTTTTGCCACCGAGAGGGATCTGCTTAGAGATAACTCTTTCTAACAGCCCCTGAAGCCTGGTAGAGGCTAGTGAATAGGTTGAGAGGATCAGAAAAACAAGACACGTACTGAAACCGTCTGAAGTGGACCGGTCTTCTTGGGAAGTCTAACCCCAGACTGACCCTGTTGGCGACACGGTGTTCATGTTGGGAACGTTTGAATGGAGCCAGTGTTTCTGTGGACTGACTCACGTCACGTGATCAGAGCTGATGGCGGCCATGTCTGATATCATCAGTGTGAGGCTGACCTTGGGTGACCTTGTCTCGTGATTGTCATGTCGGAATGAGGATCACTGACAATCAAGGTAGGTCAGGGGTCAAAACGTCATTCAGGTTCCGTGGTTCAATTCTTAATTATGGTGGAATAATTATTGTTTTGAAGTAAAAATTAAAATTATTAACTTTAACATGAAATCAATAATAGTAGTAATAAGTTTTTTATTTATTCACATATATTTATTAAGTATATATGCAAAAAGCACAAGTTACTTATATAACACCTTCTACTCAAAACATACAACGAGTCTAAAACACATTGACAAAATACATGCATACGTACAAGGGATAAAACCAAGATGAATACAAATAATTTTACATAGATATAATGATGATAAATACTAGTTCCTTCAATCAAACGTACCATCAATGTACTAGATTATAAAATATACATTGGAGTCCAATGTTTGGACTAATTTTGATAGGTGACATTAATGATAATTTACACTGTGTAGCATCAATGAAATTTTACTTCAAACGGTCAAACACAAGAGTGAGGTACAAGAAAATCTTACATGTTTCCCGATTTTGGAGAATATTCCGCAATTGCTGGGAACGTTTAGGTGGCAAGTACATGCAAAATTCCGTCAAGACTCCAATGAATGAATGACGACCTTTATGGCACATTTTTGCCACACTGGGCTAAGTACAGGTCAAGACAAAATATGATGAAAAGATATATACAAAATAAAAGTAGCTATCATTACATAAATTCAACTTCTCCTCGCTGTTCAGTTATAGTAGTGATAAAGGAACAGATATGTTTTTCGATGGAAGGTTTGTCAAGTCGTATTAGCAATATAAACCTTTCTACAGTGCTCAAGTGAAAAGCGGCTTGCAGTAGAATTGAAGCTTCTCATGAATTAACAACAATTAAAACCATACTTTTCAAGATTTTCATAACTTTATAGAATGTCCTGAAAGAGCGTACAACTAAGGATAGTACTTATGTGAGTTATCATGGAACCAAAGTTATCGCGATAAGCTTGTGTTTGGCAGCGCACACGGTGGAAACCTGGAGTTGTGCCCAACATAAGACAAGGCACTTCCTCTAGCTTGCGTGATGTTGAGAAGTTCATCTTGAGATAGAGTCATGCTTGGCACTGAGAACATAACCCCGCTACTGTGGTGGTCTGTTAATGACAGTTCCAGCGTGGGAGAGGGCAAACCTACATAAACGTTAGAAAGAACCGAAGCCAAAGTTTGCGTGCAGTTCTCTATTCTAGTTGAAGACGGGCGGCGCCGGTTTCAGAGTGTCCGATCCCTCTCCACGCACATCAAAGCTCTACAAGTCCAAGACATGAAGCCTTTTACAGGTTTGAGAACACTTGTACTGTCTGTTTGTAGTAAATTGTATCTATTTGAAGACAGAATAGATATGTCTTCGTGTGAAAAATGGTTTCACAGTAACTTTATAATATTTTGGCGGATACTTCCAGTGTGTGTTCAAACAGACTCGAACAATGAACACTTTTACTACATTTGTGAAATATTGTTGTCCTACTTCTAACGGCGTTATTTTTGCCAAGTTAAGTTTTTAAAAAGTTTTTGCCAAGTCCCCTGTATACTAGAAATGCTGTTTGAAAACTATTTACGCAACAAAAGTAACTAGCGTTCTAAGTATTGATATACTGTGGTTGAAAACTCATGTTACTTGGTTCTAAAACAAGAACCAACATTCAAGTTTGATATGGTTCTGCACTATAGTTGTAAAATATATGTCAACATCTTGGGTTGTTATGCGTTTACTACACTGTTCACATATACACCATGCGCCACATTTTTTCAAGAGATAAGCTAAGAATTTTTTTTTTTTTTTTGTTTAGAACCTTCTAAAAATGTTATTTGGTATGAATTGAAATAATCCAGCAAAATTGTACTTCTAAAATATTGTTTGTAACTGCTTCCCCGCGTTTTTCCAGTTGTAGCAGCGTTAGGGGCGTGGTTCATCCTGGTTGCTATGACGACTGTGGAGGCTAGAGGTAGGTAGACAGCAGTGTGTCACCAACAAAATAGTCTCGATATGTTGATAAAGTCTTGGATACTTTCTTTTTTATTTCTTTATAATATTTGTCTTCAGTTCTAGATTCCATGACTCTGAGTTAAGCTACTTTTCACAATTTTAAAACTCAATAAATTGTAGAATTCTAGTGTCGGAGAGTTGTGTGATATCGTTGAACTCATCTTCAAAAGCAGATCTTTCGGTGGCTACAAAACAGTATCAAATTGGCAAGGCGGTATCAAATTCACAATCTCCAAGCAGATCTATTGGTGGGGGTAAGACAGTATCAAATTGGCCAGTCTGTATCCATTTCCCCACCAAAACACACAAAAAGACGTAGAAATATTCCGATGCCTAAACCTCTGTTTGGAAAGTAGTGTTGATCAAACTTTTAGTTTGGTAGTAATGAACACTTGATTCTCATACAACATAATCACTACCCAGATACCGTAAACATACCGTGCTGGGAAAAACAGGCCTGCAGTACCTGTCCAGGCTGGCAGGAGGCGGCCATGGCCGAAGGCATCTGCTGTCCTTGTTGTCTTGCCCTCTGCAGCAAACTGGTGACAGAGGACTTTGCTATCTGTGAAGTCCCAACCGAGGTAAAACAGCGCCACCTTGCAGCTTTGTTCTACTTACACGGCTTTATGTTTGTTATGTTTCCAAAATAAACTTTGGGATGAGTTTAAATCACCAGTTATGACATAGCTGGAACCTTTCTGGGAGATAACCTTATGAATATAGCGTTGTTTTGCACGTCAAGTGCTCGGAAGACGAAACACATCACCTATTAATTTTGTTTGGGTTTGTTAGGCACATCAAGTAATTTTTATGGATGACATCAGCGCGCGCATTAATTTTAGCCTGATTCTGAAAAAAAATTGTGACAGTGGTGAACATGTCAAAAATAGGCAAAGATGTATGCTGCCATGCCGGAACGTGGATAGCAGATAAATATGAAGAGAGGAGACAAGACAAGGCTCTTATTTATTGTTTTGTCGTTTACTTTGACACAGTGATGTATTTCATTCCTTTTACATATGTAATAGTGGTTGTGTATATGTGATGTTCCCACTAACTCAAAACAATTTATACAGTGATTGAAAACTTTAATTTTTAAAAGTTGTTTCAATGAGAAATTGATGTTGTATTACATGTAGTTGTCGGTAAGCTTAGCACAATACAGGTATCATTTCTTGTTTAACAAGGTTTATGATGTCAACATTTGAAAATATAGAAATGTTGTTTTTTGGCCCGTCTTTTTTTTTCGCCCGCTCGCATTAGATTTGGAGTCTACGGAGGATGTCATCCATAAAACTTACTTGCTGTGGCCTTAAAGAAACCATGCAACGAAACCTTCCAAAACTTTCTCACATAAGCAGACGAACAGAAAGCTACTCTCCAACTTAAATCACAGAACCTACAGATTATAGAGTATAGAGAGAGTAGGACGTTTTGTCCTCTACTTCTGCCTAAGAAGTCAACTTGCCTAGATACAACTACGAGTACCACTTGCGCTTGAAGTAGTCTGTCCCAACTGGGTGGTATTGAAGCGCCGCCATGTGGACAGCGATGGTACTTCAGGAAGGGAGGGACAGTATTGGAATAAGTCTATTGTCTCAGCCTCTGTTATTGTCACATGTATGTTACTTAATATATGTTCCTACCACATGTGCATTTCCAGTGTCTACTTGCAAACAAACTTTCTTTCTTATCATATCGAATAACAATGATAAAAGTACGGTTCGAGTTTCAAATAATTACACTAAAACCGACTCTCATCTCTCCTCCCCCCGACACACACCTACTCTCAAGATGATGAACTGTACAGTAGAAGTGGTGACGTCATCTGGCCTGGAAACAACCGTTACCATGGTAACTAAAATGGCTAACACCGACATGAGAAGCGGCGGTCAGACAAGAGGTGAGTTTCTTGTATTGATGAAACATATCCTCATGTCGCCTTGGTCTTAAAATACAAATACGAGTTTCACTTCATATTTTACTGCCCATTTTCCTCATATAATTTTTGAAAAAACGTACAGAAAGAATCCCGATATCATCTGGGAAAGAGACTAAACAAAACTAAATTGGCTATTTAATGAAGGTGTTTTTGAAGTTGCCACATATATCCAACAAGCTTGAAAAACGCAAACGCTAACATTTATTTATAAAAATGACTGTTAAATAAGCTGATTTTGTTTCTCCTTTGTTTTTTCTCTTTCCTTGTCTCGTTCATATGTTTCGGTTTAGTTCACTTAATGTACTTTTGTGTTGACTTTATTTACTTTTGAGTTGATGTTGTGTACTTTTGACTTTTATGTATTCATTCATTCATTCATTCATTCATTCATTCATTCATTCATTCATTCATTCATTCATTCATTCATTCATTCATTCATTCATTCATTCATTCATTCATTCATTCATTCATTCATTCATTCATTCATTCATTCATTCATTCATTCAGATTGGTTGATCCCAAGAACTATGGTTAAAACCGCATGGGAGGAGGGGAGGGGGTAAACAATGTCTGTACTGCAACAGAAGGCAATCATTTTCTTTATGTCAATATACCATACGTTTTATGGCTAGAGTTGATCAAATTAACGACGCTTTGCAGTGATTGGCTGACCGTCCTCTATTACAGGTGCACCGTTGGCTAAGGCAGCAGTGGTCGGGATGATGGTCCTGACAAGGGTCATGATCTGTGATATCCTGTGAAGTAAGATTGTCTGACAAGGGGACAAGAGAGACTTGGAGACGTCATGGAGAGAATACCGACGTCTTTTATATCTGTTCTTTAGGAAAAACGCTGAATTACTAGTAGCTTTTTTGCTGCTTTTAGTCTGCATATCATAATTGTATGAACTCATCCGCGTTTATGGTAAAAGACTAAAGCGCCCCCACCGGTAAAAGGTGGTACTGCACGCTGATGGGTACGTATTATAAGTAGGCCAGTGATTCTACACCGAAATTCCGAATTTGTTTCATCGCCTAAGAAAACGGACATACTTAGCGCCACAGTACGATTATCAAAATAACGAAACAGTAGGCAATATACGCACGTGCTCGTATCTGTATCTCATATGTGTACAGGTGAACCAGGTGAATATATCTGTATAGTTCGTAACCGACAATAATAAGCTCTTTTTGTAGGCCATAAATCATTAACAAGTGATTAAACAGGATGTTACAAAGCTGCTTTTGTATTGTTTCACTTATTACTCTTATTGACAAGGTAATTACAGCAATGTGTGCGTACTACTCGTGTCACACCGTCATTGCCTGTATTCTACTACTCCAACTGGGTGGTATTGAAGCGCCACCTAGTGGACAACGATGGTACTTCTTGAAGTGCTTGCTGATATTTCATTTCGATACAACTTGAACCTCCCCCACAAAGGTATCCAAATACCCAGAGTTGTTGGTAAGAGTGTACATTTATGCACACGTACACTATGTGTATACGTTCTTGGATACGTAGGACTATCCAGAACCGAGCCTGATAACTAACCCATTCAGGCATTGAATTAGACATTAGTCAATCCCTCAGGCGTAGTACACTTTCTGGCGGTAGCTGTTTGTATTACACATCTAATCTTTCACATCTAACATCTAACCTTTGCATCAGTATGTTTTCAAACTAGTGGGTTCAGGTTTTAGAATCCGACATTGCTGTACGTTTTTTTTACATTTAATTGAAAGAATTCAGCACTGGACCTCTACCCTTATTTTTTTATTCATCAAAACACCAAAACATAACAAGGACAGTGTGGCGCTGCACTCAAGTTTATAACTTAGGCCATGTTGATTTGATTATATGGATGACATCCTCTGGGAACCCCAAAACTGATGCGAGCGCGCGAATAAAAAAAAGTTTTGCAAAAAAAAAAAAATAGTTGCTTTCATGAAATCTACGTTGTTATGAAGGTTGAACAAATGACACAGAGTATGGTATGGCGAATAATCTACTCTTTAAATTCATTTCTTTGCATTTTAGTTTTTTGTTTGATTTTGGCATTCTACGACGTTGGAATCGTTTTCAAATATTTTTTTTGCAACTTTCGGTATATATTTGTGATCGGTGTGATTGGTGGATCTACTCTTATTGACAAGTTTTGAGTTTTATGTGGTTGATGAAAACCGTTACGCAACACGAACCAGTTTTTATCATGGTAATGTAATTAATACTTCCAACACACGCTTTCATCTTTTGTAGACGAGGTTGATTTGATTGCATTTTTCACTGGCGTCTTGTTCGAGAGCTACTAGCTACAGTGAATATGTATGCTAAGCCACGCTTGTTACCTTCGCCAAGAAGGGTATGTTTTCGGTAGCCTAGCGTTCGTGTGTCTGTCTGTCTCTCTCAACACGAGAACTCTAGAAGGCTTACATGGGCTGTCTTGATATTTGGTAGCGGAGTAGGTCTTCATGAGACTTCAAAATGAGTAGATTTTGCCCCCCCCCCCCGGCGGCTTGTTATGGTATCACAGTGGAACTTCCGGTTTTGATATCTCGTTCTCTGGACTAGGATCACACATTTTCACTAGATGCATCGTTCTTGTGCTCGGGTAGAAGTGACGTATGTTTGGCCCCCTAGCAGATTGTTCTCGAACAGCAGGAGCGTTAAACTTAGTTGAAAGATCTTTGAAGGACGATAACTCAAGGACAATTTTCATCGAAGCTTTGTTGGTCGGCATTCTGTCTGCTGAGCTGATGCAGTGACTGTGTTTTGCCAACTTGTCGCTTTTTTTCCAAGCTTTCTATTTCTTTATATCGTTAGTTTTCAATACCTACATAATCGTCTAAAAGCCACACCAATTTAATTTGTTGGTTCTCGGATTCGCCTCTTAATTTTTTCCTGATTTGCCAAAAAAAAGATTCTGGTTCTGAATCAACTGAAATAAGCTCATATTTTGCCACCAACAGTTGAGGACAGTCCTTTTCTTCCTAGTTGTTACAGTTTTTCCATCTATCAATGTACGGGTTTGATTAAAAGTTTATATAAACCCAGCCTTTTGTGTTGACTTCATGGCCCCTATTATAGCATTTGGGGCTATAATAGGATGCCTAGACCTGTTTTTATTTTGTTTTTTTAGGCCCTCTCGCTTCATATCTTTTCTGAAAAAATCCGAGAACCATCAAATTGAATTGGTGTGGCCTAAGTACTGTAAGAATATGTACCAAACATATGACAGAGTCAAACAGTTGACAATGGAAAAACAGCTACTGTATTTCTTTTCCAACAGCAAAAACAAAACTAAACACCACATCATTGAAAAAAGAAAACATTGTCCTCTTGGTGTTTTCCTAATAAAAACTTCCATATACATCAAGTCTGAGAAATACTATTAATCATCATCTCTTGTAGACAAGTTTGGTTTGATGGTTGTTTTCATTGAAGTTTTCTTGATCATTCTTGCTTGTGAAGTCATACAGTAAATAGACATGTAAATTATGTTGTTCCAACAACCCATTTTCGGCTGTTTTGTTCACATCATCATGATTTCTAAGTAATTCTGTTACACCATCATCTCTTGTAGACAATTTTGATTTGATTGCATTTTACATTTTTATATCGTGTTTTTCATCATTTTCTATCTTTTTTATTCTGGTGGAGCGTGTAGTAAATATTTCTCCCACGCTTGTTTTTTATATCTTTTTGAAAACGTGCTAATTTTTATACACCATGTCATAAGGCCTACATAAATCACAACGTACTTTCTACAACTTATCATCATATGTACAGCTAGAACCTCCGCTGATAAATTTTCTGTCTCTGCAATGTTCATAACATAACGAATACAATGTCGGTTCTTTAGGCGCGGTCACATTTCCCAACCCGGGGCCTGGCCGGGCAGTTGTATGGAACGAAAATTATGATATAAGACAGCAAAACATAAAAAAAGTTTTAGAAAATTAACCAGGAACACTATTTTTTTTTTTTTTTAAATTCCAACATGTAATCACCAGACGTGGTGACGACACACTCAAGTTTTTTCAACTTATATTAATGCCGCCACCAACACAGGGGACAAATACATGACAATACTCATTTACACCTGAGCTAAGTGAGGAAAGCCGTGTAAAGTGCCTTTCCCAAGGGCACAAGATCGGTGGCATGTCAGGACTCGAACCCGGGACTCTAAGTTCCGAGTCGCGCACTCTGCCGCAACGCCACACGACCACACTATTTGTGTATACTTCATTCGTAGCGATGGGAAGATGACAGACTCGAGACGGAATTCGACCGGTTTCGACTTTAATTCAGTCTTTATCAACTATTTGTGTATACTCTTAATACAAATCGTTTATTTTTCGTTCACGCAAACAACCCGGCCGGGCCCCGGCTTGGAAATGTGACCGTGCCCTTTGCCCTGATTAGGACCACTGTTCATTTCAAGCGTCTCAGTCCTTCATGATGCCCTGGACCTGTACTGACACGTGCCGGGGTACTGTATAGTACAAAATGTACTTTCTTTCATATGTAGTACAACCCTACACAGTTGTGTAACGAAATATCCTTTTTGACAACTTGATAACACTGATTGTCTCTACTACTTTGGATAATCTTTCTGATGATATTCTGCTACATTTTCTTTTAAATGGTTATTCTTTTCTCTCAACAACGTACAATATTCAAATATTACAACATGTCCAGGTATTTTTGTTGGAATCTCACCGTTTTTTGTAACATAGTGTATTGATCAATCCCGTCAGCATTTTTATATATCTGTTTCACCTGTCCATTGATTTATCTTAGTATTCAATTTCAGGCCACACCAATTTAATTTGTTGGTTCTCGGATTCGCCTCTTCGTTTTTTTCTGATTTGCAAAAAAAAAAAAATTGATTCTGGTCCTGAATCAACTGAAAAATGCTCATGTTTTGCCCCCCAACAGTTGAGGAAAGTCCTTTTCTTCCTAGTTGTTACAGTTTTCCCATCTATCATTGCAGTGGTTTGATTAAAAGTTCAAAATTCAATGTTTAAATTTTAACCCAGCCTTTTGTGTTGACTTCATGGCTCATTTTGTAGCATTTAAGCCTATAATAGGATGCCTAGCCTTGTTTTTATTTTTATTTTTTTCGCCCTGTCGCTTCATATTTTTTCTGAAAAAAATCCGAGAACCAACAAATTAAATTGGTGTGGCCTCAATATGTTATCTGTGCTTTGCTTGTTGTATGTATTACGTATTGTCTGGTGGCGACATGAATATAAGTGAATCTTGAGTGTGTCGCCACCACGTCTTGTCATTATATGTTTCAATTAAAAAACAACCCTACACAGTGTAAATTGATGGAACCGTCACTGGTTCATAAATCTACTCTGAGCTTACAAAAATGCAACACAAGCAGCACCTGCTGTATACTACACTCTTCTGTACGCGGTGCTAGTTTCTGGTAGAAAACATTTTGCTGATGCTATAAGATGAAGTATTGTTATAGTAATAAGACACAAAATTTCGTCCCACATCTGGGACATAAAAGTTGTCTGTCTGATGTCCTTAGCTTTAACTGTAGAATTCTAAGTGACTTTTAAGTTTAAAAAACTTCTTTGATGCAATATCAGATCTTATCTTGTATCTAGTTTAAAATGTAATTTCCAACACAAGCAAATGGACTCACCCAAATTTTCGGAAACCTATATTGGAGAGACTGAAAGATCCCTCGAGGCTAGGTTGTTAGAACACAAACGACCTAGCTCGACTACTTCGGAGGTCTCACAACATATACACATAGAATCGCCTGGTCATTCAGTCTCACTGGACAAAGTAAGAATCTTGGACTCAGCCATCTACATCAGGGCATTACAACCACCCCTCAACAGAGACGGGGGGCGCCACAGACTTTCTGCAACCTATGATCCACTGCTCACGGAGTCACGTGTGTTATCTGCGTGACGTCACGGAAGCGGTGGATTGTTCATTCCTTGACAAAGACTGGAGTTGTACAGTAAAAAAATTGGCTGAGTCTATTTTCTTGTGTTGGAAATTACAGTTTAAACTTTCGTCATAATATCAGATCTC